ATGGAGTTTAAATTGCTGCTATTAATGTGTATAAAACCATTAGGACTGCATAATAGATACATGCAGTTTTCAAAGAGTGGTCCCGAGACCCGCAGCAGCAGCACCAAGGAATGCCTGGGCCCAGGCTCCGGACTCGGGGGCTGTGGTGGGGGCAGCCAGCGCTCCTGTGCCAAGTCCCCAGGCTCCGGGCACTCAGCTCGAGCATCGCTGACGCGGAGGGACTACTCAAACTGCCTCAAACTGAGTTCTAGCTAACATTAGGATTCCAAGCCCTGGCCGGTGTTGGTCAGTGGTTAGAGCATCAGCCACACACTGAGGGGTCTCAGGCTCAATTCCCAGTCAAGGCAATGTACCTAGGTTGTAGTTTCGTACCTGGCCCTGGTCTTGGTGCATGCAGGAAGCAGCCAATTGATATTTCTTCTCTCTCCTCTCCCTTCCCCGCCCTCCCTTCTACTCTCTCTTAAAAAAAAAAAAAATCAATGGAAAAAAATATCCTGAGGTGAGTATTAACCAAAACGAATTGGGATTTCTATAAGAAATGTACAGGGCAGGGGAGAAGTGGGTTTACAGTTGTTTGCATGGAAAACAATACAGTACAAGAATAAACTGTGTTTGGCGTAGTCACAAACCTATTTTTACTCCACCCTGCAATCTGAAAAATATAGCAAGGAACTTGCTTTTGTTCTGTTCCTTCCTGACCAAGTATTTTTAATAGACCAAAAAAGAACAAGGGGTGAAACGAACTATTAGTGCAAATACTGTGTGCAGTAATTATCTTTGGCAAGATAGTGTTTCTCTGTCAGAAGCAACATGCCGATGACAGAACGTTAGGCTCTGCACGCACTGCTGCAGGGGGCTGCTGTCCCGGGACCTTCATTCTGACGGAGGAAAACGGCCCCTAAAGACAGGCAAACGCGGCCCCTTCGCAGCCCCCACCGTGCTCCGCTACCTTCTGAGTCACCTTCCGAAAGGGTAGGACGTAGCCAATGAGAAGACAGAACCGCAGCTCGCACAGCCCCAGTTCTGGCTGTCCCTACTTGTAAGGACAGCGTGGAATGGGGCGGGCACACACCAGGATGAATGGTGGACAGGCAGAGGACAGTAGCGTTGAGGTTCCTAGGTTTAATGGGCTATGGATGAGCAGGCAGAAGCGTGACTGTCAAACACCAAGAGTGAGGAACGGTTTATTTCATCTTGAGCTGCTAAGGATGCATGACAATGACGGGTGAGAGGAGAGCAAAGGAGGAAGAGAGACGACGGGAGAAAGAGTATTAGGGGCTGAGATTCAGAGAGGAAGCGCCACGGCAGGTGGCCCGGCCGGTCCCCGCGCTCACTGGTGAAACGTGTCTAACAGATACCCTGCACAGTCGCACGTCACCGACACCGGGGCCACAGCGTGGCAATGTTCTAGTTTGTTTTCCCAAAATATGCTCTTCTCCCCCCAAAAGTGCATATTTCCTTGGATTCCCAGTTGGTATATTTTTATCTCTCAAAACGGAAATATATTATACAGTTTAAAATGCAAAATACCGACAAGCAGGAGTCCAGCTTATGGACACTGTAGCCACCAGGCAGCCTGTGAAGAGGATACGACTTGAAGATGCGCTCTGAGACAGCCGCTCAGCTTAGCCAGCCCGGGCGCCCTGTGTGGACTCGGGAAGGTCCAGGCCCAAAGGCTGAGAAAAAAGAGGCCTCAGGCGAGGATGCCACTGAGCCTCAGCGATGCTGAGGACGAGCCCTTCCGTCCCGCACACTGCGAGGTGGACGCTGGACTCTGGACCCAAGCCCTCCCCGGCCTGTGGAGACGGAGAGCCAGGCTCTGCCCTCAGTGAGCAGGAAAAGGCCCGAGGAGAGGAGAGCAAGAGGCAGCGGCAGTGGATGGAGGAACAGAAATAAGCAAAGATTTGTCCATTTGCCCAGTTGGCAGTTCCACAGCAGCCACAGGTGACAGGCTGTGAGGGAGCAAAGCAGCGACTGTCGGGAGCAAAGCAGCACGTGCCTCAGAGCCTGGCAGCAGCCCTTCGGCACAGACAGGCACAGACCCATGGGGCAGGCAGCCTGCACCCAGTCAGGCCACACGGCATCCCCAGACCAGCAGGCCTGTGGGTGCAGAGCCGGTGGAACTGGAGGCAGGCACATGTTTGCAGTGGCAGCGTGCTGTGGTGTAAGTGAGGACAGTGCACACCATCCGAAAGGGCCCCTAGATCGTTAAAATCAAAGGTAAACAGCGTTTCAGTTATGGAGACAGCCGGCCATGAAGCAATGTGAGGCCAACAAGACACGCCCACGGCCAGTTCTCAGATGGCACCACACAATGCAAGGGCCCTCCCAACCAGGACCTCCTTCAGGCACGCTGCCTGCACACAGCGTCCACGGCCATGTCCACGGAGAGCAGCAGGCCCCCGAAGGCCAGCCACCTGCGAGCCGCTGTTCTCACGCCCTCTTCCTGAGGACTCCCTTCCCCAAGGCCCGACAAGAGCCACCGTGAGTGGGGCTGGTGTCTCCATACGGGCCTGCTTCAGCCCGCTCTATCTAAGAAGTCTCTTCAAACCCAGGTGTTCTAAGTCAAGATCACACCTTTCAACATGAAATTACATTTACCCCTTAGGGGCTCTGGATCCATCGCTTTATATTGTAACTAGAGGCCCAGTGCATGAATTCGTGCACTGAAGGGGTCCAGCCAGCCCGGCCCCAATCGGGTGGATCGGAGCTGGGCCTGTTGGGAAGAGGAGATGGTGGGAGGTTGGCAAGCTAGCTAGCTGCCCCAATCGGGCGATCAGGCGATCAGGCGATCAGGCCCAGGCTAGCTAAGGGAAGGGGCTATGGGCAATTGGCTGATAGGTCCCACCCCCAATTGGGGGTGGGACTGGCCATGGGGAGGGGCTGTGGGCAGTGCCTGGCTGGCCCCACCCCTGAATGGGGTGGGAGTGCCAACTGGGGACTAGTGGCCTGGGGGAGGAGCCTATGGGTGGCTGGCCAGCCGGCCCTGCTCCTGATGGGGTGGGGGGGTCGATCTAGGGCGAGGCCAGGAAGGAAGAGGGGCTGCAGGAGGATGGTGGGCTGGCCCTATCCTCTATTGGGGTGGGGAGGGGGCAATTAGGGGCAGGACTGGCGAGGGGGAGGGACTGCAGGCCAATCAGGGTGGTGAGGGCCCATCAGGGACACAGCCAGCTGGGAGGAGGGGCTGCAGGAGGTTGGCCGGCCAGCCCTGCCCCCTATTGGGGTGGTGGGTGCAGCCAGGGGTGGGGCAGCCAGGGGGAGGGTCTGCAGGTTGGGTGCCCAGCCCTGCCCCCTATTGGGGTGGGGCTGACTGATCAGGGGTGGGGCTGGCTAGGGTTTGGCTGGCGGCCCCCTCTTGATTGGGGTGGGAGAGTACAATCAGGGGAAGGCCTGCAGTGGGTAGGGGCTGCGAGGTTGGCTGGCTGGCTCCACCCCCTGATCGGGCTGGTTTGCTGGCCTTAGTGGGTGTATAGTGACTGGTCATTATGGCCGTTACGGTAACTGGTTTTTTAGATAGATAGTTAGAAAGAAAGATAGATAGATAGATAGATAGATAGATAGATAGATAGATTGCTTTTCCAGGGCTTCCTCTGAACTTCTGCTCAGAAGAGTTAAACGTGCTGCCGTGTGTCCTTCTGCCTGGAACGAATCCTAGGAAGCTGTGCGCAGAGCTCACATCACAGGAGAGCCAGTGCTGTGAGGGGCCAGGGAGGAGGACTCTGGCAGCTGGACAGGAAACGTCAGAGCTCAGGTGCAGTTAGTGACCAGGCGGTGTGCTTGCCCAAACACATCCATGGAGGCCGCTAACTCCACAAGCTGCGGACCCCACAGCGGGTCTGATTCCCACCACTGTGGGCTCCTGCTGCCTCAGGACGGAACGTACCACGGCTGCTCTCAAGTCTGACGGGAAAAGCATTTCTGTGGCCTTACCTCCTCACAGATCAAGCACACGAATCTTGCCTATGCACTCATACCTGTGGCATCAGCCTTTTCAGAGCACAATCACGGCACCCAGCACACACTTACTAGTTGCATAGTTTGCATTTAAAAACCTACATGGAAGCCTGCCAAGACAAGGCAACGTAATCACAATGAACTCTGTCTATAGAACTCTTATTTCTGATTTTTGGGGGGCAGGGTTGTCTAACTATACGGAAGGTGTTTTTGCAGAGACCTGTAAAACCAGTTGAGTATTTCCATGACACTCACACATGTGCACGCACATACAAACACAGGCATGATCCTGGCCCAGTTCCTCCAGAGGCTCAAGCACATCCCCAAAACACACACTCCAAATTCGCCAGCTGCTGGCACTGCCCCTCTTGGGGCCAGGCGGCCTCTGACCCCGCGTTCACACACACGAACTCATCTCGCTCTGGAACTGCCTTTCCTTCCGTCCCTCACAGACCTCCCGAAGCCGCTCAGAGGCGCACGGGGGTGGTGCTGCGGCAGCAGCAACCTCAGGAAGACATGATGCACAGGGCTTACAACGAAACCCAACCCCAAAGGCTGTCAGAAACAGTGCGTCCGGCTGCGAGCATGTCTGGGCCTGGAGCGGAGACAGAGGAAGCACAGGGCCCGGGAGAGTCACTGACGATGGAAAACGCAGAACATGATGTTCAGGTCTGCAGAACGGAAAGGGGAACCCTGGTGAAGGGAAAGGCCACCCTCACGAAGAACGCTCTCACCTGAGCGTGCGTCTCCCGGGACACGTGGCCTCGTGGAGTGGAGACGGCCCCACCCGCACGGCGGACAGGGTGCACGGAGCACGTCTCCCACAGGGACACTGGCCAGTCCTACCCACACGCCTTAGAAAGAGCCCCCGGATGCTCTTTAACTCCGGGCTGTTCAGTCTGCACAGGAACGGTGCACACTGCCACGCTATGCACTGTTCACACGGACACACAGGCGGACACACGGACACTCAGGCACACGCACACACGTTTCCTGTTTCTCCTGGGGCCTCCCGGCGCCGGGCAGCCTCGCGCCCGGCCACTTACCGAGGACTCGCTGTCCCTGATGAGGAAGTCGCCCTCGCGGCCGCGCTCGTTGAGGGCGCACTCGGCCTGGTGGCGGGTCACGTTCCCGTAGTACCACTCCCTGCCCGCGAAGCGCCCGCTGCCCGCCGGCCCCGGGTAGCTGATCTGCGGGACGTGCGAGGGGGGCAGGACCGGCCCGTCGCTGAGGACCACCACGTAGTTTTTGGGGACAAGGCCGACCTGCCCCCGGGCGTTTCTGCACTTCCACCACTCGGGGTCGTTCTCCGGCTTCTCGATCACCTCCATGGTCTCTCCCTTCTCGAAGTTGAGCTCCTCCTCGGTGACCGAGCTGAAGGGGTACAGCGTCTGGACCACGTGCAGGACCCGCGCCCCCTGGCCGTTGCTCAGGGGCGCGCCCCGCCGCAGGCTCGGAAAGCTGGGCGACTCCGCGGCCGCCTCGTCCGCCTCCTCCAGGACATAGTTGGAGGGGAACCAGCCGATCTGCCCGTTGTAGCTGCCCCGCCACCAGCCGTCGCTGCACTTCTCCATGACGGTGACCCGCGACCCCTTCACCAGGGACAGCTCGTCCTCCCTCTCGGCCACGTAGGCGAACTTGACGAAGGCGGGGATGTTGAGGTCATAGATGCGGTCGGCGCCCCCGTTGGCAGGGTACTCGGCGTCCGTGCTGGGCGTCGGGGACGCGTCCCTCGCGCTCGTCTTCCTCTTCGTCTTGCCCAGGCCTGTGGAGACACAACAGGGCTCAGTGGGCACCGGTGCCTGCAGCGGGCGCTGCTGGGCATCTCGGGCATCCTGATGCCACCTCCCTGCCCGTAACACTCAAGGGGGAATCCGCCCCACCGGTGCCTGCAGCGGGCGCTGCTGGGCATCTCGGGCATCCTGCTGCCACCTCCCTGCCCGTAACACTCAAGGGGGAATCCGCCCCACCGGTGCCTCAGCGGTTAAGCCTGGGCCCGTTGGACTCCAGCCAGGGTGCGAGCTCAGGTAGCAGCTGATCCCCAGGAGGGGCGCGAAAGAGACAGCTGATTTATGATTCTCTCTCATCGATGTTTCTCTCTCTCCCTCTCCCTTCTCTCTGAAATCAATAAAATGTGAAAAAAAGGAGGGGGGAATCCACCCTGGTTACAAACCAGGGTGCCTCATTGATGGCTGCAATGAGGGACTACAAACTGAGAAATGCTAAAACTGATCTCTTTCCTTTACTCTTAAAAAACGCTAGAGTAACAGCAGCACAGAAGATAACAAAATAGTACAAAGTTAATTTTCTTCCGAAATGACTAAAGAATTCCTGAGCCACTCAGAAAAAGAAGGGATAAAGGCACAGACAAGATGTACGCACATCCTTGTTCTGGGCAGGAAGTTGGACTGAATGGACTCAGGGGACCAGTTCTCGGGAGAGCCGGGCCCCAGCAAGCAGAGCTCGCCCCAGCAGGCTGCTCTGCGCCTCCCCCAGCCCCGGCGCCTCCCCTCCACTCCTGGGCCTGTGCCCTCCCGGGGCTGCCCTGGGCAGAAACCCGTCCCCTTCTCCTTGCTTTTCATCTGCCAACTCTTTTCTTCCCAAACAAGGCTCATGTCCCACACAGGCTGTGATGAAGGCAGAATTTCTCTTATTGTGACCAAAATCCCGCTTAGTGGATCATAAAACCCACCTGGTGGGTTGTGACCAACCTGCACGTGTGTGCTTTTTCCTAGGGGAATTATACACAAAAATCTAACAGAGCATCAAACACCGTATTGTTCTTCCGGTGCACATGTGAGCGCGGGAGGTTGTAATGTGGAAATTTTTTCCCAGAGCAGGAGCAGCAATCTGAAAGCCCCGTGGCAAGCGCTTTACCCTGGACAATGCACGGGATTCCGAGCCTCCAGCCGGGAGCTGGGGAGGGCGGCACGGCAGGGCTGAGGGAGGCATGGCCTGGGCAGAGGAGGTTACAGCTGAGGGGCGTGCGGTTACCTTTTCATTGAAAACAATAAGCAATTTTAACATTCCTGAATGAAATTACATGCATGAAAGGCTGAGTTCTAACAGAAGTTTGACTGTTATCCGTGTTAATGGTCAAGATTTTAAAGTCAAAAATCTCATGTGCTCCTTGTGAGATCAAGGAATGGTAAACAGACAACTTTAAAATATGCTCTAACGGTCACCTTTCAGGTTAGTTCTGCAGATTTAAGATGCAGTCAGACAAGTCTGACCATTCAGAAATATACTCAAGCCGATTCACTTAGACTTGACGCACCATGCATGAAAAGGGGGCGCAGGTAAACCTGCAGGCTCCGGGGAGGCCTGCATGGCAGCCTGACAGACTCAGAGGCCGAAAGTACCACTGGGGATGGTGTGAAATTAGAACTCCGAACTAAAAGCAGGCCATGGTGGGGAGTCAGTCTTTACTGTGACTGAGCTCAGTGTCTCTCTGCATCTCGGATGCCTCTGGAATGTCAGTAACCCCTCAGAACACACCCACCAGAGCTACGGAACCCCTATTGTTCCTGTCCCGAATACCATCTGCATGTGTAGTAAATGTTCACTATCCCGTACCCACTATAAAAGTATGTGTCTCTGTTTTACTCTTTATCCAATCCCAGAGGTTTCCCTTTTTTGCTTCTCCCTGTCCCCTTAATTGACCACCGGTAGATTGTACGTAACCCCCTTACACCTCCTTCCTTGACTCTAATAAAAGAGAAATACGCAAATTGCCTATATCTCTGCTACACCCACCAGCCAATCAGGAGTGAATATGCTAATTAACCCAACAAAGATGACAGGCTAATTTGCACATGCAGGCACAGAATGGCAGGGCAGGGTGGGACTCCTGCTATGAGGGGGAGGGTGGGAGGTGGAGGGAGCTAGAGGAGCGGTGCTCCAGCCAGAGCAGAGACAGAAGGCGGCAGCCAGAGTGAAGGCCTGGGTCCCAGGGGCCAGAGGAAAACCGGTGCGGTAACCAGGTGAAGGAAGGCCCATTGCACGGATGTTCGAGGAAAACCGGTGCGGTAACCAGGGGAAGGAAGGCCCAGTGCACGGATGTTCGAATGTTCGAGGAAAACCGGTGCGGTAACCAGGGGAAGGAAGGCCCAGTGCACGGATGTTCGAATGTTCGAGGAAAACCGGTGTAGTAACCAGGGGAAGGAAGGCCCAGTGCACGAATGTTCCAGGAAAACCGGTGCGGTAACCAGGGGAAGGATGGCCCAGTGCACGAATGTTCGAATGTTCGAGGAAAACCGGTGTAGTAACCAGGGGAAGGAAGGCCCAGTGCACGAATGTTCGTGCAATGGGCCTCTAGGGTATAAAATAAGCTGCAAAACTGCCTTCTCGGGAGCCTTTTCTCAATCCGTTAAGATTTTGCTTTCTAGAAATTGCTATCAATTTGGTTAAAATTAACTCATAAAACTCTCTCCCAGACAGTATCCAGTTTTAGGAGCTATAGGCAAAGACATTTTATTTTTGTTACTAAGTTATCTGTAACATGAACCACCATTAACTAGAAAGCTTTCTTATACTTAAAATGCCAGTTATACTAAGTTAAGAAAACAGGTTATTAATTTGTGGGAGTTCCACCATTGAGTTAGGACCTAATTTTAAAGTCAACTAAAAATTACAAAAGGCTTTTGTTATTAAATGCTAAGAAGATCTGACAAGATTTGATTAAGGTATAAAGTAACTGAAATAAGTTTTCACATCAGAGTTAGAATATAATGTTTGGCTTCTAATAGCTTTTCATATTATTATATGTGTATATAATTTATATTTAGTAAGAACTAGATATGTTGGCAAGATTCAGAGAATATCCAGTTCTAACATTTATGATAAAAATATTTCAACATATAAAGGGGAAAACCTCAAGTTTACTAAACTTAAGATTTTTTTAAAGGATGACCATTTAAGATCAATGCACTCAACCTCACTAGCCACTAGGGAAATGCAAATCAAAACTACAATGAGGTACCACCTGCTGGAGTAGCCATCAACAAGACCAGCAATGACAAGTGGTGGAGAGGTTGTGGCCAGAATGTAAACTGGTACAACCACTATGGAAAGCAGTCTGGCGATTCCTCAAAAAAATTAAGAACAGAGCTACTGTATGACCCAGCAATCCCACTCCTGGGTACATACTCGAAAACCTCAAAATCATGTTTTCAAAATGATATATACACCACTACGTTCCATGAGCACTATTCACGGTGGCAAGACACGGGTAACAAAGATGTGGTAGCTATACATGATGGAATTCTACTTAGCCATAAGGTGAAATCCTGCCATTTGTGACAACATGGGTGGACCTGGAGAACATGATGCTGAGTGAAATAAGTCAGTCAGGAAAAGCTACGAACCATGTGATCTCACTCACACGTGGGCTATGAAACTGGAACTCGTGGGCACAAACAGCAGTGAGGTGGTTGCCAGAGGGAAGGCGGGTGAGGGTGGGGTTGGACGAGGCCAGACACATGGTGACAGAGGATGATCTGACTTTGGGGTGGGCACACAGTGCCATATACAGACCGTGTAGCCACAAAATCTATACTTGATACCTACATGATCCTATTAGCCAAAGTCACCCTAATACGCTTAATTGAAGATCAACACGGCGGGCTCTGCTGGTGTTTCACCTGCCCAGCAGCCTCTCTTCTCCAACCAGCTCCTGTCTGTGGCTTCCGCAGGGCTCCACCTTGCGGCCACGGGGCCAGCTCCTCAGGACCAGTGCGCATCGGGGTCACCATCCTGGGCGCCCACGCCTGAGGTCGGTGTGGAGCATGAAGGAGGGGGCAGGGCTCCTCAGGACCAGTGCGCATCGGGGCGGGTGTGTGTGTGTGTGTGTGTGTGTGTGTGTGTGTGTGACCATCTGGGTGCCCACACCCGAGGTCGGTGTGGAGCGTGAAGGAGGGGGCAGGGAGGAGGCCCACGGAGAAAGACAGAGCCCAGATGACACGCATTGAGCCACTCCGTCTAACCACAATTCCCAACGATGGAGATAAATCCTCTTTACATTTTTTCCGCCTCTTCCTTCTTTTTTGCAGTAACTACCTTCTGTCACTTCACTTAAGAACTCTGAAAACAAAAACAAAAACAAAAACAAAAACCCCAAACTCTCCTCCAAGTCTCCCTTCTCTTCCCTTCCAGCCCTTAGCGATGCCAAACTTTATTCCCACTCTCATCTGAGTGGGACCCGGTCCGAGGCGCCCTAGACCACGGAGAGTGCTGAACTGTATATACCGTATTTTTCGGACCATAAGACGCACCGGACCATAAGACGCACCAGTTTTTAGAGAAGGGAAATGAAGAAAAAAAGATTCTGAAACAAATAGTGTCCTAAAATATTTTATGTGCATTAAAACCCAACATCACAGTCATAAACACATGTAATCAACCCTGTAAAGTAAACAGCAGCATTTAGAACCATTTTAGAGCCGGGCAAGCACACAGAGACCACACAGAGCCGGGCAAGTAAAAAAACTTTTTTTTTAAAGTATATGTGTAGGCTATATTTGGACCATAAGATGCAGGGACTTTTCCCCCCCACTTCTGGGGGGGGAAAAGTGCGTTTTATGGTCCGAAAAATACGGTACTGTTTGTTTCCTACATACGTGCCTGTGATTAACTTATCAATTAGGCAGTGAGAGATTCATAGCAATAATATGCTAGAGTCCAGTGTTTCCCAAACTTTTTACATATGTGTACCCCTTCTATAATTTTCGTAACGCTGAGTACCCCTCGTACTCATGAGAATGTAGA